CCATGCAGGTGAAGCTGTGTTTGGAGCGTTGGGAGCTTCAATCTGGGACGACTGCATATTTCCTACTGCCCTATCCTCATTAGCAATAGTTTCAGCCTGTTTTTTTTTTGAAAAATATTATAAAATATTATAAGCTACTCGTATGGACAGTGCATGCTTAGTGCAAAAATAGTACTAAAAAAACAGGTACTTATCATGTGTATTTGCTTAAATTTATTCATGCATTTTGAAGCCATTCAGTTAAGGAGTTCACAAATAGGCAATATGCAAAAAGCTAGAGTTGTAATAATGTATCACAAGTTATATTATTTGAGAAGACAAAACTCTGTTACATATAATGCCATGTAAGAAAATTCCAAATCTTACCAAATTGATAAAAATGTCTCTTGATAATTAAATTTAATAATATTGGAAGGGTTAATTTAGAGGACATACCCCAGAGCGTGAGGATGAGCCAGCGAGTAATTGAGAGGATCTTCTCCCACGATTTCCACGACTGCGGCCCTGCAAATTGTTTTTGAAACACTCATAATTCTTTCTAAGATTGCATCTCTATGACAACTATTTTGAAAAGGTAACAGATGTGCCATCACAGTACATAGTAGTTGGCAATTATATACATAATTTATTTACAAACAATAGAGTAGAACACAACTACACAAATCTAAAAATTTATATATATATCTTGATGAGTAAGGTTACCCTTATAGTGCGGTTTGCCCTTCTTCCTCCTCGAGATCCACGCCCTAATCCTCGAGATGTACGCAGATCATTAACTAGTCCAAAATCAATCTCCTTCATAATGCCATAAATAAACATGATTTAAACATTAGACTAAAATATATATCATCCAAAATTTATAACTTCAGATGTTTTCATTGACAATAATTGAAAAATATGTTTCATATATATTACATAAATATTTATAGGAAGTGTGAAATGAGTGTTATTTAACAGAATATACAATAGGAGACAAGCCCGGTGGAAAAATATACATACCCTCAGTGGAGGTCTTGCGTTTGTAGTAATATACTGCGATGGAGTTATTTGGTTTGGATTAATAACATACTCTGAATCTTCATTCAAAATGAACAACGAAGCCCTAGAATTCAAAACAAAATCCAATATTTTCTGATACCAACAATTTTATTAATAAAAGTTTGAGTTAACACCACGTGGGGTCATCTAAGTATAGTGGCTGATTTTTTCGCGTTCAGTCCAAAATTGTTAAATTAATTACCCGTGATCCTTCGACTTTCAAATTGTTACTATTCGTGGTCCAAATTAACTATCAATGGTCCTTCAACTATTAAATTTTAACTAGCTATGGTCATTTTAAGAGGACTAGGGCTGGTTAAATTTTGAAAGTTGAAGAACCATAAGTGGTTACTTGGATCACAGATGGTAACAATTTGAAAGTCAAAGCATTACGGATGATCAATTTGAAAGTTTAGGACTAAACGTGACAAAACCATTATAACAACAACAACAACAATACTAATAATAATAATAATAATAATAATAATAATAATAATAATAATAATAATAATAATAACAATAATAACAATAATAACAATAATAACAATAATAATAATAATAATAATAATAATAATAATAATAATAATAATAATAATAATAATAATAATAATAATAATAATAATAATAATAATAAGAAGAAGAAGAAGAAGAAGAAGAAGAAGAAGAAGAAGAAGAAGAAGAAGAAGAAGAAGAAGAAGAAGAAGATAGAGTACCTTTGAGGGGGAACAGATCCGGTCGTTGTAGAGTTTGGACCAAGGTACTGGAACATAAATGGTTGCATTGGGGTTGTGTTAATTTGATGCCCCTACATATATTTCATATGTGGAGTTTAAATAATTTTTTTAAAAAGAAATAAATTAAATCAGTAAATAAATTATATATCATCCAAAATTGATAACTTCAGATGTTTTTATTGACAATAATCGAAAAATCTATATCATATATGTTACATAAATATTTATTGGAAGTGTCAAATGAGTGTTATTTAACAGTCATATATACAAACAATAGGAAACATGCCCGGTTGACTATCTATTGGTGGCATTATTGAATGCTTAAAATATCAAAAATAAAAATAAAAACTGTTAAAATAATTTTATAAAACTAAGAACAAATAATAATATGAAGCAGGAAAAATATATACCGTCAGTGGAGGCGTTGCGTTTCTAGTAACGTTACTTGGTTCTTCACTCAAAGAGCTCAACGAAGTCCTGGAATTCAAAACAAAATCCAATATTTTCTGTTACCTACAATTTTACTAAAAATTTGTACACAATAATAATAATAATAATAATAATAATAATAATAATAATAATAATAATAATAATAATAATAATAATAATAATAATAATAATAATAATAATAATAATAATAATAATAATAATAATAATAATAATAATAATAATAATAATAATAATAATAAGATAGAGTACATTGGAGGGGGAACAGATCCAGTCATTATAGAATAACGATCAAGATACTGGAACATAAATGGTCGCATTGGGGTTGTGTTAATTTGCTGCCCCTACATATAATTCAGACGCAGAGTTTAAAAAATTTAATTTAAAAGAAATAAATCAATAAATAAATTTATTTAAGAAAAGAAAACAACCTGGGAAGTTATAGGCAACTGCAAAGGATTAGGGCTTCCAAATGCAGAGTTAGGCACAACCCTGACAACAAAAGACAAATGTTTCAAAATAATTTCTTTGAAAATAGTGATATACAATATTAATTTCTATACATACATACATACCTTTACTTTTTGATATTTTAGTAATCTTAAAACTCATATAACATTTTAGTTTTAAGAATTTTATAATGTATTCAGTTAATATAAAATTTTCAAACTATAACTTCTTGAGAGGGTCATCATCTTAATTATTAATTTTACATATATACAATATTATGAATATATGAACTTTCTCAAATGCATCTTGAGAGGGTCTAAATTGCATAAGTGTATTATTTTAACTTGTATCTAATTAGACAAGAGGTTTAATAATAGATTTTTTTAAAGAAAAACGGTTTAATAGATGTTGTTCACTATCCGAGACATTATCATTAATAATAAACCTAGATGTTTTGTTGTTGATACTTGATTACTATATTAAATGGGTTCTATCATATATAATTGGAAAATTGCAAAATCCTAACTATCCATCCAGTCTCCATAGCCTGCTACATCATAAAGTAAAAGTGAGGGAGTAAAATTTAGGAGTATATTAGTAAAACTCAAAATGGTTTTGCCCATTTCTTGAGTAATAATGGCACAGAGCAAGATTTAAACCAACAACATCTTGGGCAAGGAACACTATACACCCGTGTTTTTCTCCATCTCTCCATTTAGAGATATTTAAATTTGCTTTCTCCAAAAATATACATGAAGTAGAAAAATGGAGAAGGAATAAGCATTTGGAAGAAGAAATTTAGTAAACAACCTCTCCCATTTTTATTTTTTCTATTCCTCAATTTCTCCATTTTTCTGAAAAATCCTCCATTTTTCCAAATTGGTAAACGACCCCTTAATTTCTACAAGGCCCTTAAATTGTCCTTCCATTTTCTTTGTCCATTTTTTGGGTAGATAGGATGAGAACATAATTATGTGTATTACTGATAATAGGAACAGAAAAGATATAAAATACAAGAGGAGTCCTATACAGAATATATATAAACTATTGCCTCTAAGAAATTACTAATTTATTATTGTCAAAACCTATTACATCAGTAGATCGAAAAGTATGTGGATAGAAATCATATTTCAATTTATAAACCCTCAATTTCTTTCTAATGATAGCATAATTATGAAGGTTACCCATTTAGTTTTAAACCAAAATTCAAGTAATTGTATCTAATTGAGTGAAATCTTTCAATTGATAAATTTTGCAACCATATCATGCTAGATCAACTCATGTCCAATTTAGTCATTTTTTAGTGATAACACACCCCATGTTGAATCATGATAGCATTAAGCACAAAAAGATATATGAAAGATTTTGTGATTGAACAACATGAGCATAAAATATCATATAAAAGAATGACCACAGATTAACGTTCTTAGATGTGTTTAAAAAAAAAAAATCATATAAAAGAATGACCATAGATTAACCTCCTTAGATGCATGTGTTAAAAAAAGAAAAACAAGAATACAAGTAGATCCAATTTTTTTTTTTTTTTAACATCAATCTTATCAATTATATATTGTAAACCCTAACCACCTAATAACCCAAGTTACAGAAAAGAAAATTATAGAAATTAATTTTACTTAGATATAACATAAATATTCTGAGCATAAACATATATTACAATTGAAATCAAACCTCATCATCAAAAGATCAAGGATAAAAAATATTTATGTAAATAGAAAAAAAACATATATACCTTGATGATTCCGATTCGGATGTTGGATGTAAGTTGACAGCGTTCAACTGATCAGACATTGGTAAAACTTGTTGAAATTGACGAGGCTCAAAGGAATGTGAATGCCAAACGCTCTACACAAATTTATCATTTTTTTAAAAAGTATTAAATAAACATAAAGCATCATAAATTCAAACAGAGAAAAAGGGAACAATTAATAAAAAAAAAGTGAATAAAGATTAAAACAACATACTTGGAAAGATGAGGGCGGAGTTAATTGATGTCTGTTTCCATTATCTTCATTATTAGACACCAAACGTCCCCTGGCAGCGAGTGATGATGGTAAAACAAGTAATTTTTTTTTTCATTTAACAAAAAGAAATATATTCTATATGAATCTTAAATTTCATAGCGCACTTGGAGAAATCATACAAGTTTTTTTTTTATATATATTTGTGTAAAAACAAAAGGTATAAACTTGACAAAGTAAAAAATTAAGCGCTATAAATATCGAAAAAAAATTTATGAAATTTTTGGACAAATGATTTTTGTTCAAAAAACTAAGTCTATAAAAATCAGGTAAACAAAAAAATATCAGATACCGTGAAGGTGTAGAAGACGACGCCATTAGAATGTCCAGTGATTTGAACAGAAAGTGCGGAGCTTATTCTCGTACTTGTTTGATTGTAATGAAGTTGACATGGCCCCATTTATAGAATATCGCTTTGGAAAAAAATTAATTAGAAAGAATATTAGAATGTTATTATTTTAATGGGATAAATTTTCACACCTTTTACATTTATGTCGTTGCGTCAGCAAAGGAAATTTAGACAATTTTGAATGAAATAATTTATAATATTTTTTTTTGCATATTGCATTTAAGAAAGAATAATAACTCGATAAATCAATTTATGTAAAAAAAAATGTAAAAAATATAAATAATAACGGGATTCAATTTTTTAGAAAATATCTCCGCAGGTCAACGGTACAAAATGTTGTGCGTTGGCTGGGTTGGTCGAGTTCAGCCCCTACTTGATTTGATACGTGACGCTGTGACTTACCATGGAGGGATGTGGTTAAATGGTTAATGTCCACCTACTTATCACCAATTGGTTTTAAGTAGGATATGGCAACCAGATAGCCAAAGAACTTTTTGGTTATGCGTGCTTGATTTACAGCAGTCACACGATGGATAACCTCTTGAGAAGTAAGTATAGTGCATTGCTGAGATCCATCAATTGGCATCATAGCCGAGGTTGTAACACCCCGTGTTACGACCCCTAAACCCAAATTAATTAATCAATTACTCAGCCCAAAAAGGGAGTTAAAATCCACTAATTAGCTAAAAAGGGGTCCACCATAGTCCATGGGCCCTTATCCCTAAAGTCAATCCCTTAGTCCTATAGGAAATAGAATTAGCAAAGCCACACCACTTAGACCCTAATTAGGACTCTTAGATATATATAAATAGGGACATAAGAGGCACCTAGAACTCACACCACAATAACTTTCATCACACAAGAATTCCCCAAGAATTCCCATAGGAGAAATCAAGAAAGAGGAAATCTTAAAGAAAGACCCTTCATAGCCAAGGAAATTAATTAAGGCTAAGAGGTAACCCATGTCTCAACAAAACCAATTTTCTTCGCTATAATCTCCTTCCTTGGCTTCCTTCTATATGCTTGTGTCTTGATTAATTCCTCTATGCTATTTGTGATATATTCTTGATGATTGATAAGATGATTTATGTGTATTCTTGATAATCTTGATGATCTTGATGTTGAAGAGGTTCTTGATATTGATATGATGATTCTTGAAAAATCTTGATATTTCTTGATGTTAAAGATAAATTGTGATTTTGATGATTTGGGAGGGATTAGAGCCCTAGGGTGCATTGGGAATTTGTGTTGTAATGTTCTTGATATATATTTGGGTGAGAATTCGCATGTTCGGGTGTTGATTATGTTTAGAAGTCATAATAGGATGAGTTATACGTGATTCTTGCTTTTGATCCATTAATTGCCTACGTGGTGTCGTTAATTGCATTTAAAAGTGTCTAACCATGGTTTCGGGTTCCACAAAGGATCCCGGGACGTAATTGTGATGAAAGAGTCAGTGGGGGGTAGGGGTACCCGCCACCAACCCGCTGTCCGAAAATCACCGCCAGGCAGCGGGCAGGCTCCGGGCAGGCGTTCTCCCGCCGGCAACCCGCTGCCCGGGCGATGATCTCCGGCGGGCAGCCGGCGGGTGACCCCCAACCATCGGCTACCCGCTGGTCCGTACCCACCCCGGGTCTTTGGCTTTCCCTTTGATGTTCCCCATTCCCACGTGGTGTCCCAACGGACCCCGTTTGTCGTACTTGAGTCTAGTTTGATGTTTTTGGTACCGTTCGTAGGATAAAAGAGTCTTAGGGATTGCATGCTAGTTAAATCGGTAACCCGTTGACCTAGGTGGAAGTCGTATGAACCCCTTAGGACTAATCTTAGTATGTGAATGATCACACGTAAGCTTATTTATGTGTCTTCCCCTTCCCAATGTGCTAATATGTGCTACTATGTGCTATTGTGTGTTATGTGATGCATGATTCCCCAATTTGGTTGCGATCAAATTGGCTATACAGGCAGTTGGATTGGTTGAGAACCATCCCAACTGTTAACCAGGCCGGTTGCGATCGGTCAGGTATATAAATATTATATAGGGCTGCGGTCCACTGTTGGTTACTTATGAGCTGCGGTTCATCCTCCTGGCTACGGTCAGTGATTCACTTCTTGGGCTGCGGTCCACATGGGCCTCGGGTACGATGATCCACCGAATTGGACGCGCCAGGCGGTGTGTAGGGCCAATAAACCCGAGGAAGGCTGTAGTCCACCGACCTGAGTAATCAGGCGGTGTGTAGGGCTACGGCTGGCTGCGATCCACCGAGTGATGGGCCAGCGGTGTGTGGGGTCGTAGCCTCCGAGGATCTTCGCCCACCGACTGAGTCTCTCAGCGGTGTGTAGGGCTTGATCCGCTACGGTCCACCGACTGTGCCCGTCAACGGTGTGTAGGGTCGTATGTCCCCACTTGTAAAGGGGATCACAGTCCACCGACTGGGCGCGTCAGCGGTGTGTAGGATTGTGGTCCGACGTTGAGTTCGTCAGCGGTCTTGAAAGGGTTGGTTGCGATCAACTCCCTTCATGCTGCGGTATGAGGTAGGGTGCTGCGAGGCCGTGTTAGTGCTATATGCGCTAACCCTCATGTTCGGGGCATGCGATTGGTCCCGTGGCGCCAGCTCAGTGTGATTGAGTGTCACAAATGATGATTGGATGATGATATAATTGATTTGGAAATAGACTATGACCTTAGTTGCGTATTCTTTATGACGATTCTACTTAACGGTTATCATTGATTATTGTGCTTACCCCTATTTGCTGAGTCCATTCCTGGTTTTAAAACTAGACTCTCTTAAGTATATATCTTCTTGCTTCAAAATGATTTTCATATATCTATATATATATCTATCTATAATGTATTTCAACGCGTTGGAGTGGGTTACTGGCATCATTCGCTGAACAGATATATTTGGCTTTCAGGCACAAATGATTATCTCCCAGAGCGTGCTAGAAGAACTTGGAGTAGATAGATAGTTTTCCTTTCGGCCTGCGTGCCATGATGATGTATTAAGGATATTTAGTTAGTTTAGCCTATGCATCTGAGTTCTCCAGCTCAGATGTGGCATAGCACCCCGCACTCGTATATTTGGTATTACTCTGTTTTGGGATTTAATGAGAATTGACCTTTGTTATATAAGTTTTAAAAGTTTCAAAATTTCGGGGTGTTACAGTTGGTATCAGAGCCTATGTTTGACCCTAGGATAAGACTCTTAAGACTAGACATTAGGACATTAGGCTTAGACTCTAGGAGTTCAGAAACATAAGATTTAGGAATCATAGGACGCGCGGTAAGATTGTGAGACCCCTAAACTTCCCCTCACTTTATTCCTCATTAATATAAAGAACTCCCCTTCGCTTATCACATCAAGGTAAGGGTACAACACTCTAACTCAAACGTTACTATAAACATTGGCTCTATAGATCAGCATCATGGGACCAACCAGAAGACAATCAAGGACTCCGGAACCCGCTACACAAGACCCCTGGCTCAAACCCTATAACAACTAACCCAAGTCGCCCAAGCACTAAGCGACGTAGCTCTCCGCAACAACCGACCACCACTATCTCCACCAAACACAAACTCAGAAGTTGCCCGGCAAGTTTCAAACCATAGACCACCCACTTTCTCGGGAGAAGAAGATCCCGCCATCCTTGAGGAATGGATTCGGACCTTCGACAAAATTCTGGGGTTAGTAGAATGCCCAGAAGAACGTCGTGTAGAGGTAGCCTCATTCTACTTCGGACAAGAGGCAGACCTTTAGTGGATCCACGAGGGACCCACTTACAGGCAAGAACCGGGATTCAACTGGGAAAGCCTAAAAACACGGTTGCGAGAACGATTCTACCTAGCCCACATAAGAGCATCTATGCACGAAGAGTTCCTTCACCTAAAACAAGGAGTGGCTACCGTCATGGAATACCATAAACGATTCCTCGAACTGGCACGCTTCGTGCCAGAACTAGTCCCCACAGAGACAACCAAAATAGAGAAATTTGTATCAGGCCTCAACTTCGAAGCCCGAAAAGCGCTAATAGTAAGCGGACCCCGGACCCTCAACGAGGCCTACTCCAGTGCCGCCAATCTCTATCGAATCCAACTACTACAACGTGGGGTTCAGGAACAGATTCGAAAAAGAAGCACAGTAGGTGGGGCACCACCTATGAAAAGAACAAGAAACGACACTAACGCAAGGCCGAGCTATCCAGCTGGACAAAGGCCACCCCCAGGAAACAACGAAGCTAATACAGGGAGCTACCCTTGCCCAAAATGCATCAAAAACCATAGGGTCAAGGACTGCATGGGGAACCCCTTACGATGCTTCAACTGTGGGAAGGAATGGCACAAGTCCTTCCACTGCACTCTACCCTCGAGCTCACGCCCTATGGCCATGGGCCAACGCGGGGGCACGAACAATCAAGGAAATTACGGTGCCCCCGGAAAAGTGTTCGTCATGAGCCGCACGCAAGACGAACTTGAGGACCAGGGCAACCTCGACGAAGAAAACAGGGTCCCAGGAGACGAGGATCATGCAAACCCGCCAGAAGAAAACCAAGAAAACGAGTTCTGTTTAGGATAACTGACAACCCCTTGTAACCACCGTCGTAGTAGAATTTCTTGTTTAGATTAATTACTTCGGAATTATTATAAATAAAGATCCAAGTCAAAATAATCTTAGCATAAAGGAAAGGAACTAGACTATCCACATCAACAACAAGGGGAACCAACCAAATCTCCTACCACTAGAAGAAGGAAAAAGACAAGGATTACACAACAAGGAAAACTAATATCATCAAGGGGAATTAAACTCTAGACTTCCCATTTGTATGTCCAAACTCCTAACCACTAAGCCAAGAGTGTTTCTTAAAACTTTAAGGGAACACTCCCTTCCTAAACCCCTACAAATCCCTAAAAACCCCAAAAACCCCCAAATCAAAAACCCTTCTTCTTCCCCTTCTCCCTCCACACACTTTCTCCCTCTCTTCCTTACACTCACCCCGCCGCCACACGACACCACTCCACCACCACACAAACCACCCCGTCAACCGCTGACACCAGCCGAGCCACCAGCG